GATCTTGCATTTCTCTGTCAACTTTGTGCTTCAATGTCACTTTGTATTCTTTTGATCTCAGTTTCTGCAATCGGAATTTATCATGGTGCAACTCGCAGTTCACTTCTCCATTTTGTCCAGCATCAGGGTCTGTCACTTTGACATAAGCAATAAAACTGCCCACCTCAATGTCTTCAGAAATGGTCGCTGTGTTGTCTGTTGATTCAGACATGAATGTTACAAAGATGTTGGGTGGTCTGTTCTGTGTATTTACAACATTCACAAGAACTCCAGCAAAACTACTTAATGGGGAAATACCTCCATCTACTGCTGTTACAAAAAGTTTATATATTGAACTTGGATTGGGAGGTAAAATCTTCTTTAAATATATTTTTCCTGTCTTTTTATTCAACTGAAAGTAATTCCTGATTTCTTCTGATGTTTGAGTTCTGAAATGATAACTAACTTGTCCATTTGTTCCAGCATCCATATCATTTGCAGACACTGTAACAATAGGTACATTACCATATTCTTTATTCTTGATGGAAACATTGTAAATATTCTGAGTAAATACAGGGGCATTGTCATTCAAATCTTCAACTATTATATGAATATTCAAAACATTTTGTTTGGGTGGAGTGCCTCCATCTTTTGCAATTACTTGTATCATATATGAGTCTTTATCTTCTCTATCAAGTTTACCATCAACTGAAATACTTAATTCTGGTGGGCCAAATGGTATTTTCAGAATTGCCAGTGCGAATGGTTCATTTTTATTCTTTTTTAATTGATAAGTAACTTTTGAATTTGAAATTCCAACATCTTTATCAACAGCATTGGGAATGGCTTTTTTAAAACCTTCTCTTACTCCTTCAGAAATATGCATATTAATTTCTTTCTCTGGAAATTCTGGAGAATTATCATTGACATCATTTATGATTATTTTGATTTTTATAATCTTCTTGAAAGTCTTTCCTTGTCGTACAGCCACATCAACCATTTGGAAACATTCTGTATTATAGGTACAAAGGGACTCAGCGTCCAGTGTCTGGGCAGTGAAAAGTTTTCCTTTCTTCTGGGAGACATGGAATAATTGTGAAGTGCCTGCCATTCCTTGACGAAGTTGATTGAAGGTAATCAGGCGTCTGCTTTCTAAGGAACATCATTCATGATGTGGGAATCAGCAGTAATGTCCCCAGGTATGTACCTGGACTTTTTCCTTCGTCTACATTGTATGTCAAGTCTATCCCAAAGCATCGATGCATGACAAGGAAAAACTATGTACACATTTACAGGGATGATTTTGGTTTTCATTTTTCTGCAGCTTGTTTTTATCTGAAATTCAGAGTAAATTTGTTTATAACAAAATTATAATCTTAATTCCTTTATGAATAAATTTTATACTTTTACATGGTCAATATGATTTTATGATGAACAAGCTAACATAATTTTAAAAATATTTTTCAGTATTTCATAAATGAACGTTTTTACTAGTTTAATTTTATTTGTATACTTATTTTTATTTGGAATTATGCCAAATCTCAAACTAAATGTAAATTTTCTTTTCTCAAGGTGCAAAATATCTAATGATATTTAAAAACAAACAAAGGAAATGAGATGCTTTTTTTCACTGATGGTACATGTTTTATAGAGCGATATATGTTGATTAATTTGACACTTAAATGTTCCTCACATTTCTGGCGATGATTTTAAAATATTTTCTTACATGAAAGAAATCTTCAACTTTTATAACATGAAGCCAACATTATCTTGAATTTGGCAGAAACTCTTAATAAAGCAGGTTTCCATTCATGAAAGAACATTAATGAAAAATTTTGTTTCTGGAATTAATATTTTACACATTTCAACTCATATATTATCAGCATTTAAAATTATCTCGACATTTTCAGATTTATATATTTCAAACTTTAGTTTCAATCCTTGTAAAAATACAAAAAATATGTCTGTATAGTTATGTAATTTTTTATGATTAAAAAAGGTTTTGCTAAGCAGGCTATGAAAATATTTCAGGGTAAAAAGCAATATTAACAAATATGTTAATCAGACAAGCGTATTTTCTTGTTAGTATAAATCATCAACACAGTGTATGGTGGCAGGAATGATGGTGAATTGCATGACTTTTGAAATTTGTAGGGTTTTTTATTAAATTAAAACATTTAAAAAAAAAAAAACTATTCTGTTTGATATGACAGGTTATCAACCTAATATTTTTAGTTTTTACAATGTATGCTAACAAGCCATAAAAAACACTTTCCATGATATTTTTTTAATAGTTTTATAAGAAAATATATTTATCATTAAAAATTCCAAGCACTAAAAAGAAAGCAAAAAAGTAAACATCTGAAACAGATTGTAAATATATTTTAAGACTATCTAGAATCTAAAGATGAAAAGTGAAAATTTAGTTCAAGTACACAAACAATTTTATTTTCCAGTCTAATAATTTAATTCTAAACATTCTGCCGCTTTAGCATGAAAGTATTGTAAAATTGACGGGAAAATTTATGCAATTTTTTTTTCTGCAAAATCATTTTTCAAGATTTATATATATTAAAAAAAAATCATTCCTTCTTAGTTACTTAAAAAGTAAAGCTAATAACAAATAATGAAAATGCATTTAAAATTTGCTTACCTCCTAGAAAATGGTAAGTAGAATATTTTATATTTGTTATTATTGTTATATTTAATAGAATAATTTTCATTATTTTCTCAGTTTCTTTTTAAGAAGAACTGAAGCTTAAGACCAGTATATTATCAAGTTTACATACTACCCTTTACTCTGATATATAAAGTTATTTTAGAAAGTCAAATTTTATATATATATATATATATATATATATATATATATTCAGACTATATTAAATCATTTTTTAGTAAGAAAAATTATTCCATAGTAAACAAAATGTTAAAATGTTTCATTATAAACACTAATAATTACATTACTTGAGTATGTTCTAGGGAAAACATGTTCATGCCTCATATAATATCAAACACATAAGAAAGAAAAAACAGCAAAATGTATGATGTGAGGCAAATGATTAATTTTCAGATCAGTTTTCAAAAATTCAGTAATCATACATAACTACATAAATTGTCGAAAATCTAAAAATCTTAACAATTACATTACACACTCTATTTGTGTTCATTATGAAATGATTACATTAGATAACAATTTGTAATAGTTAAGAAAAATGTTTTAGAAGACTAACATTATGGTTATAGGTTTTACTAAAGAAAGAAGACCATACCAATTGCATGAGTCAGATATTTTTGTGTGTGTGTTGATTGTAAAATCATGAATGTGTTATATTGACAGAATGTTGAAATTTAGAATGTTGTAGGCAAAAAACCCTACTTATGTTTGTAGTAATTTATCACTTGGTAAAATAAGCAACAATGAGTGGATAGGAGTGAAAATATATTGAAATGAAAAATAAAGAAAAACTGGAAAGATTTAAATATTAACTAACCTGCAATTTTGTATTGATGAGGCACAGATGTATGATGAAAGAAGATTCATGTATCCTGGTGTACAGCTCCTGTTGCTGCTACTACTGCTGCTATTGTATGAACACAATGTTAGCCCTCTCTTTGTACACACATATACGTGTACATGTGGGTGTTACAAATAGTGTATTTTCATGTGTGGATGTGGAGAGAAAGAAAACCATAGTCCTATCAAGTCTGCCTCATGCATCATGGCGGCTAGAGCCTATGATTCTAACAAAGCATAAAAATTATCATTGAGGAAATGGCAAGTATATTTTCCATTCTCACAAATACAATTACAGTATATCATTAACTTTTAATTTTAGTCTATTTTCCTTTCTAAATTATAGGGATTGGTAAAAGCAAAAACATTTATTAGCAAGTTTAATTCCAGGGTATGCAATATTTTGTCTAAAAACTGTAGTTCTTAACTGATTCAGTACTTTTTCGTTACAAATCAATTTACTTAATAGCTTAAGTGATGCATCCTATTTCAGGAGATAAATAAAGCAGGATTCAGAATTAGATAAATATAATCTGATAAAGAATTTTAAAATATATGGAAAAAAAAAAGAACTTTCTATTAAAATGGTTTTTGAATGTTTTTACAAAACAGCAGATGATCAAGGATCTGAATGAATAGAATCGGAATAAATTGCAAGTCTATCATACAATAAAATGCCATTGAATTTTATTGATTCTCTTTTAAATCTATTCATAATTTTTAATATCAGAAGAGCTGATGCTTATTAGAAAGATATATACATATCAAATTGATTAGAACTTCTGTTTCCTTATGCAAATTTAAATCTATACCAAAATGTAAACAATCATAGTTCAAATAATATTTTACCAATTTTTTTTTCCATATCTGTTTCATTCATAAGACTTTTTAAATAAATATTCTATGGTTGTGAAAGGTATTGTAAATTGTATAATATTTAATGATCAGTGAATTTGTTTTCATATTTTTATGGAGTGTATAGAAGTTTTTGAACTGTCTAGACTTTGTGTTTCTTCTATAGACTCAACCAAGTTTAAGACTTGTTCATCTTGTTGTTCTACTTGGATGGGTTTTGCTACAGTCTCGGTCTGTTCTTGTTGGGACTCACATGTAACACTGTCTGCATCTACATTTTGTAATTGTAGCTGGGTGTCAGACGTGCATCTATCAACGGTACCATTCTTCAGGGTAGACCACTGCCTATAATCAGAGTGAGGGTTGACATCTGCCTTGTACAATCTTCTTGGTACAGTCCTTGTATCTCCAGGGGACATGAATGTCTGTAGTGAAGGTTTCATATCTGTGTATTCCTCTTGGATACTTTGCGATGAGTGCGGTTCATAATAATCAGATGTATCAGAAACTGAAATTAGCAGAAATGAATAACAGAAACAAAGTCAGAATTTGTCTTTTAATATGAAGAATCATTTTCAAATCAACAATGATCAATGTAAAAAAAATCTATGATAAAATTATACATGATATATGAAATATTTTTCTAACTTACCAGAAACATTTTGACAATGATTTGCATATCTTTCAGCATAGGGATCTTCTTTGTCAAGGTGAGAAGAAGATTCCATGTCAGGGTGACAGGCAGATGCCATACAGTTTCTCTCTTCATGTCTTTTACCACCACTTGCACCTCGGATTTCCTTTTAGCAAAGAAAAGCAAACAATTGATAATGATTTCTACCAAATTTTAATTTTAATAAACATTTATGGAAATTGAAAACGAATATTTATTTCTCCATGAATTAATTTCTATGAAAATGTGAGAAATAATAAAAGGATTTCCTACCTCATAGATGACTTCAGTAGCAGTTTGTACTTTTATTCCAAGGGCGGAACTTCTACGTCCATCATCCAAAACATCTGCACAATGTTGGGGCCTTCTGCCTCTGCCCGGTAGAGTTCTACAAAGCACATCTTGTTCTGCTCGTACAGCAACAGACACACCAGACCAATAGGTGGTCTGATAAGATGGATGCATTGGATGTGCCTGATCAGGATAATATTTGCTGGAAGCGGCAGCCAATGGATGTGCATGTGCAACACTTCTGGTATCAATGCAACGAAGGATGCAGATGGAAATGGCAGCAGTAATTGGGATAGCAACGGTGACTGCAACCAACACAATGACAATCAGTAAATACTGGTGGATCTTGATATCAGTATGCATATGTGCAGCATTTAACATGTCTGCCGTATTGTTACTAACTGCCAATGTCAAAACACTGACGTCTTTGCAGATAAAACAGGACTACCACTATCCTTGACCATAAACTGCAGATGATAGGAGCCAGCATCTTGATGGCTAAAGTGTTTACTGAAAGATAACAATCCAGTATAATGATTGATGGCAAACAACTGTTTTTCGTTGCCTGCAGTTATTTCATATTTGAGAAATGCATTCTCTTGACTGTCACTATCGGGCAGCCTTGAGAAGCGGATATTCTTTTGTATGATGGGGATGATATTTCACATCCAGATTGTAAGGATTAACACTGGGAAATGTAAAATATGGAGCATTATCATTTTATCTTCAATCTCCACAATCACATTGACCGTATTATCAAGTGGAGGGCTTCCGTTATCTTTCACTAAAACCTTGAATTTATAAATGTCTTTGAACTCATGGTCAAGAGACATGATTGTAGAAATCAAACCATCACTTGTTATCTTGAAAGGTAAGAAATCTTCATTTTTGGTGAGCAAGGAATATGTGAGTCTACTGCCAGCTCCAAGATCAGGATCAGTGGCATTGATAGAACCAACTGGTGTTTTTGGAATTTCATTCTCAAATACAGAGAATTTAAAAGTATCTTTTGCAAATTGTGGCCGTACATCATTGACATCTTTCACTTTGATGGAGAATTTGCTATCACTGTGTTATGGAGGAGATCCTTCATCTTTGCAGCTAATTGTAACATCATGGTGATCTTGCATTTCTCTGTCAACTTTGTGCTTCAATGTCACTTTGTATTCTTTTTGATCTCAGTTTCTGCAATCGGAATTTATCATGGTGCAACTTTCGCAGTTCACTTCTCCATTTTGTCCAGCATCAGGGTCTGTCACTTTGACATAAGCAATAAAACTGCCCACCTCAATGTCTTCAGAAATGGTCGCTGTGTTGTCTGTTGATTCAGACATGAATGTTACAAAGATGTTGGGTGGTCTGTTCTGTGTATTTACAACATTCACAAGAACTCCAGCAAAACTACTTTAATGGGGAAATACCTCCATCTACTGCTGTTACAAAAAGTATATATTGAACTTGGATTGGGAGGTAAAATCTTCTTTAAATATATTTTTCCTGTCTTTTATTCAACTGAAAGTAATTCCTGATTTCTTCTGATGTTTGAGTTCTGAAATGATAACTAACTTGTCCATTTGTTCCAGCATCCATATCATTTGCAGACACTGTAACAATAGGTACATTACCATATTCTTTATTCTTGATGGAAACATTGTAAATATTCTGAGTAAATACAGGGGCATTGTCATTCAAATCTTCAACTATTATATGAATATTCAAAACATTTTGTTTGGGTGGAGTGCCTCCATCTTTTGCAATTACTTGTATCATATATGAGTCTTTATCTTCTCTATCAAGTTTACCATCAACTGAAATACTTAATTCTGGTGGGCCAAATGGTATTTTCAGAATTGCCAGTGCGAATGGTTCATTTTTATTCTTTTTTAATTGATAAGTAATTTGTGAGTTGGAAAGACTAACATCTTCATCTATAGCATTAGGAATAGACTTTTTAAATCCTTCCCTTACTTCCTCTGAGAAATGTATATTTATCTCTTTATCAGGAAATTCTGGGGAATTATCATTGACATCATTTATGATTATTTTGATTTTTATAATCTTCTTGAAAGTCTTTCCTTGTCGTACAGCCACATCAACCATTTGGAAACATTCTGTATTATAGGTACAAAGAGACTCAGCATCCAGTGTCTGAGCAGTGAAAAGTTTTCCTTTCTTCTGGGAGACATGGAATAATTGTGAAGTGCCTGCCATTCCTTGACGGAGTTGGTTGAATGTAATCATACGTCTGTTTTCCAGTGAAACATCATCCATGATGTGGGAATCAGCTGCAATATCTCCCAGGTATGTACCTGGACTTTTTCCTTCATCTATGCTGTATGATAAATCAGCACTGAGGCATGGATAGAAGATTAGAAGTATTTGGTATCCGACTGTCCACAGAACAATATTCAAAATATTATTGTTCATTGTTCTCCCAGTAATGTGTAGTTCAAGTTAACTGAAATTAACAACAGCAATCATATTCAGAAATTTAAATATAAAAATGGTCTCTATATTTTTGACTTGTTTTTATGTCTAATTTTTACCATATTTCCTATATGCTAAGAAATATTTTTTTCCCAGGAAATACCGTCAAAAATCACCCTTCATCTTAGCATGGAAATGTCAATTTGTAGTTTGCCAACCGTCATGAATCTCAGTCACAATGTACAATTAATTATGAAGCCCCAAACATATAAACTTACAATTATTATATATATGGATGTTGTTCCACAAAGACAGTGACAAAAACAACTGATCGTGAAAAAAAACTCAATTTTTCTTAAATAAAAAAAGCTAAAATTGCCTCTGTATACTAATGTACAGCATTTATAGTATTTCCTGTTGTACTAAATTAGGTAATGTTAATTACTGTAATAATACAAGTGGATTGTCAATAATATATTCATTCAGTAATAAACTGGTATAGTGCCAATGCAGTGACAACACACTGTTTACACTCTTGAATGCAACTCTAAAACATCAACTGTTTTTTGTGGTGACAAGTTCTTTCTGATGTGAAAAGTATAACATTGTATTAAACTACTGAAAATCCAATTAATAAGAACACAAATATTTAATAATTGCTACAAAATGTTGTGACAGAATGAAAATGACACCGATTTGGACTTGCTAGTACAATAATCTATTAAATCCTCAAGTATTTATTATTTATCTTATTTATCTTTTAAAAAAATACCCAGATAATTATAGGCATCTTTGCATATGGGAAATACGCTATATATCTTGCAATTGTTTTTTTTAGGCGTTGTTTATCAAACTACCACATGTAAAAAATCTTTATTTTTTTTCTTTAAAAAATAATTGACACAGAAGTTCAAACAATTTAAATAATATAAACAGAAATTGTTACTCTTAAGATATTTTAAAATAGGAAGAAATAAATTGTTTCCTACTTTTACAATGTTCTCTCAACAGAAACTATAATATAAAACTTATACGTTTTTTGATAAAAGTTATTTTGCAAACTCTCTTGCATTTCATAAAAAAATATGACAATCATATTAGAATTTTTTTTGTCCTTCTCTCAGTATGTATTCATCTAAATCTGAGTTTCCCAACCAGGCTGATGAGGACAATTTCAACTATTTGCTGGGCAAAAGGAAATTTTGCAAGGCAGTATAGGATTTTGCATATTGAAAAGCTCTTACAACATATCCTATCAAAAAAAAAATGCTTGGAAAGAACCTGTATGCTAAAAAGAAAACAGGAGGCTAATTAGGAATAACTGGGTCCCATTTCTAGATAAAATATGAATATACCTGCAATTAATAATTATTTTGGTACTTTCTGGATTTATGAAGGGTGGTCAACATTAAAATAGTTCTTCATACATAATAACTTTTTTTTTTTTATTTAAGGTAATGGATGATCAAGAACAAAAAACATATTTGCTGAATTTTTATTTGTTGCTAGTATAGCATATTTTTTTTTAGTTTTATAATTATAAATAAAAAACATTTAATTTCTTTTTAACATTTACAACACTAACCTTGACCATAAAACTAACCTTAAGACAGTTCTCAATGGTCAAGTTTGCTTTCTTTAATATGATAGTAACAACAGCTGCATATTAGCATTATTTGTTACCTCCCTTTGGTATCTTTTTTATAAAGACAAAGTTTATTAAGCACTACAAGAGACGGAAAGTTGTGGAGATCCATGATCACCTATATCCTGAGGGGGGACAACACATAATGATCATCAAACTTTTACCAAACAATTTTTCCCAAAAAGGTGGGTGGGGGGAACTTTTCCCATTTGAAAGTGGGCAATGATGTGAAAAACATTGCGAACCCTTGATCTAAATTTTTCAAATGCAATGCAAAGAATTCTGATAGAATTTAGGATGCCTTCAGATGTCTAAGTATATACCTATAAATTAAAATATAGTAAGAATATAACTATTTGAATATTTTTCAAATATTATTTGCGGATAAAAATAATAAATTTGAAAAGTATGAAATATATTTACCAAATTACTGTTGGTGTATAAAAAAAAAGGTTCTGAATTCAGAATAAAAACTGGATATCAAATGAGTTTGCCAAATTGGTATGAGAAAAAGGAAAAGAATATTGTAATTTAGAGAAAGTATTACTGCTTTAATGAAAGTACCATTCTTTGAAATGATTATTTCATTTATTTTGTATTGATGTATTCAGAAATTATATAAAATTAATCAAATAGAAATTTAGAGCATAAATATTTATGTTAATCAATGGCCATTTATAAAGGGGGTGGTATACTTAAAATGTTCTTTATCGTGTTAGAGTTAACTAAATATTTAATAATCTAACCATGATGTCGTTTGTGTGTGTGCATGTGTGCACATGTTTCGGTGCACCTGGGGTCTGCTATTCAAATTCATTGTGCATTGCACAGTGGCAAGAAGTATCAATAAATTAAAATATTCTAAAAATCATGTCAATTAAAAAATAAAATCCTAAAAAGAAGTTGAGAAAACTAAGTAATCAGTACACAATTAATAGTTTGTACAGGAAATATTGCACCCAGACAAAGAGACTAAATGCATATTATTAAATGCGTTGCAGATGTTAAAATTTCTCATTACAAAAACATGCAAAAGTGAATATTTCATATTTTGCAGCAAGTTTTTGATAAATTAAATTTTCTGTTTTGGAAAAACTCATCCAAGTAATAAATTAGATATTTAATTTCTAAAACTACATAGTTATAGATATAAAATCTAAATTCTTTTTGAATATTATATATGTTGATTTTTTTTCTTGTACATCTTATCCACATTATATTGCCACATTCAGTTGTGTTTAGAAAAAAAGCAACATGAATAATATTTGCATTTAATGATTTATGCAAAGGTAATTTAAAGGAAACATTA